GGTTATTTTATCACAGCAACAGGGAAAGAAACTAAGAGAGGTCTGAAGAAGCTCTACACACCCAGCCCATGCATGATAAATTTCAGAGGAACAGATATGAGAGAGCAAAAATAGTGATGAGAAGCAATCAAAGCACAGGGATCTTAGACTAGAAACATTTGAACTGATGGCATGAGCCATGGTGTATTCATCCTCAGGACTATCAATCCTCACATCACCCAAATCCTCAGGATCATTCAGAGCCCATTAAATCATAGATTGCTACCCCCTCCCCATGGGGACTCTGAATGGGTCTAGGGAAGAACCTGAAAATCAAGATTTCTAACAAGTTTCCAGATGATGCTGATGCCGTTGGTCCCAAAGACCAAGTTTTGAAATCCATTGGCTTTGTGGTTAGAAGCAGGGGGGAAACGAGTGTCATGGATGCTGAGTTGATTGAGACCCTGAGAGGCTAACTGTCAGTCAACACAAGCTTAATGTGCTGAAGGAATGCAACCAGGTGTTCAGCATATCAAGGGCCAAAAGACTCATCAAGGAGTAAATACGAGCTGTGAAGGGGGAGGGGGAGGCCTCTTGTGCCACGGCTGTACAACAAGTACCCTGCAAGGGTGGTTGAAAGCAAGTGTAATTGTCCATGAATTGGGACTGGAGGAGAAAAAGCAGCTTATTTGAGGGGGATCTGGGGGAAGCAGTTGGAGATCTATTGTATAATTAAGGAAAAGCTGTGTTTCTGTTTAGGTGGTGGGTGGAAAGAATGCTTGGGTGAAGGCTTGTGGCTCCATGGGAGTTTATTCATTAAGCAGGGCAGAATTCCATGGCACACTGAAGAAGAGGTTAGGAGAAGGTATGAGAGACAGGTGGGCGCAAGTGGGATTGACTGAATGGGGACGTAGGGGGAAGAAGCTGGGGTAGGTGGAGCCTATGACTACACTGCGGTTGTAGGTATTAGGACTGAAGGAGAGTATGTACGAGCCGGGCTATGGTTGCTGACCTGAGGTCATCATCAGGGAGGAGATTGTGATCTACACATTCTACTTTCACTGTAGGAATCTGAACCACCCATCTGTTGTGTTGTGTGGATGTCTGTCCATGTCTGGTTTTGCTGTGGTAATGGCTTTTCAGTTTTTTACAATCACAATGGGATTGAATATAAGGTAGGCAGGGGAAATTGTGAGGGAGGACAGGAGAAGGGGGTAATACTGTGTCTAGAGGAATTTTTTTTTAGCCAGAGGACATTGTAGTGTGTGTGTGTGTGTGTGTGTGTGTGTGTGTGTGTGTGTGTGTACGTACACTCATATGTATGTGTGTTGAAATGATTGGACTACAGTCCAATTGATCCCCTTTATTTCACCATTGTTGCATAGTATGACTTGTGTCTGAACATGTGGCATTGCATTAAAAGCTATAAAAAGAGAATGTGAGATTAAAATCATCACTATGGGGAACTGTAGATATGGCTCAGCAGTTAAGAGCACTTGCTGCTCTCACCAAGGACTAGAGTTGGGTTCCTAGCATTCATAACCACCTGTAAGTCCAGCTTCAGGGACTCTGGCCTTCTTTTTTGGGCTTCTGTGGGAACCCCTACACATATGTGCATGTGTACACATGCATGTACAGAAATAAAACAAATCTTTAAAAAAGAAAGAAAATATATGTTTTAAAAAGTCATTAAAGAAACCTCTTTGAAGTGGACACATGTGTCCCTCGCCTGTGATGAAAAGGTGACAGGAGCAAGAGTCAAGGTGTTCCTTTCTTCGATCTATTGGCAGTTTTGGTAGCCTGTGGCCCTATAGATAGCATCTAAGGATCCAGCGTGCAATTGGAGACTGCATTGTAGAGCAGAAAGAACATGGCTTCAAAATTATATACATTGTAATCTTAGTCTCCCTCAGTCCAGTTGGACTTGAAGAGGTTCTTCAACTCATCTGTAAATGAAAAAAGAAAAAGATAGAGGAAGGAGGGATTGAAAAAAAGAGAATTGACCCTGTAGGATTGTCCCTGAGATTGGATGAGCAATATACACAAAGTTCTTAGCACCTTCCTGAGGCCATACAGAGTCCTCAATAATGAGTTTGCTCCTCCCCACTCTCTACTATCATTTGTATCGCTCTGCTCTAGATTTTTGGGACTGAGGGGTGCCACAGAATGATTTTGCTATGTGGCACACCTCCCAGGTGTTGGGGATGTGAGTTCCTTGTTGGGAAGAAAGGTTGCCTCCACATCACCAGCACTTTTTTCATGCCCTGTTTCATGCTGTGCGTCCTTGTAAAGTAAGGCTTGAGTGTTCTAGAAAGGGAAGGTTGCTCAGAAACACTGAGGTTGTGCTTCTCCATACTCTTATCTAATTCAGTGGGAAATGAGAATGATGAAACTCTTGTCGAATCTCGGTTCTGCCTAGGCAGTTGTTCTGAACCTGAACGTTCTGGAAGCTCTTGCTGTCCACCCCTCTCCTCATGGGCCCCCAGGTAGGATGTATACTGAAAACTTGCAGTTTATTTTCCTGGTTCCTCACTTTTGGGCAGTCCCTTAGTGAGAAAGTAGAAGACCTGGATTTCTAACTTTTGTCATTTCTTGGGGAAGGCAAGCTGGGAGTAGCTCTCTGTGACATTGTAAATTCTTTGAAACCTTGAAGAGAACCCCATTTTTCACACACCTTGCATATGACAGCTAAACCTTGTCATCAACTTGACTTGGCTTAGACTCACCCAGAGGACACCACCAGGCATATCTGTGAGGGCATCTCCAGAGAGCTTTAATTGAGGTGGGAAGACCCACCCTGAATATAGACAACACTACCCCATGGGCTGGGGTACAGGACTGACTACAACATGGGAAAGGGGCAGCCAGCTGAGCCCTGGAACCCTTCTCACTCGGGTGAGTCTCTGTAGATGCCATGGAATGGGCTGCTTCACGCTTCTGCCTCCCTGCCTCACCCACCGTGATGAAATGAATTCCCTCAGCCTTGGTCTGAAACACCCCTCCCTTCTTTAAGTCTTCTTTGTCAGGTGTTTTATCACAAGATGAGGAGAGCAGAGAATACACTGCATATGCTCTGAGTCTCTCAGAAAAACTCAGCAGCTTATCACAATGAACTGAGGAGATAGGGAGGGATGGAGCCCTGTTTCCTTCTGCTTTTATTTCCTGCTCTGGGACTACAGGAGAGTTAGTTGGGTTACTCCTTCTAGAGCAAACATTCCTTGTGAAAAGGCTGGAGGGATGGCTTGGAGGTTAAGGGTTCTTCCTGTTCTTCCAGATGGTCTGAGTTCAGTTCTCAGCACCCATGTGAGGTGACTCACAATGGGTTGTATGTTCTCCAGCTCCAGGGTTTCTGATGATCTCTTCTGGCTTCTGAGGGCACCTACACCCACATGCACAAAATTACACACAGACACACATGAATACACATCACTAAAAATATTAAAAATATATCTAAAAAAGTCTCCACACAACCTTGTGAAATGTGTATGGAGAGGTTTGGGGACAACAATAAACTGTAGACTCCAGAAGAAAAGGCACTTCTACACATTTAAGTTGAAGAAAAACCTACGAAGGCAGTGAACAAACACTGTAAATGCAGAAGCTGCTAGCATATGGCTTGCTTAGACTTGCTTAGAACCCAGGGCCACCTCATCTCCTTTCTATTTTAGACCCTTGAGTTAGCCACTGCAAGCCAGGAGAGTAAATGGGAGTGAGAGAATCGCCTTCTTGGACCCATGTTCCAGCGGACAATTTTCAAATGCTCTCACCTTGAATCTGGTGATCACTGTATGTTTGGATGGAAGATGGGGCTCACTAGAGGAAGTGGGAAGAGTCAATATATAGTGGGTATTTGCTCCACCCATGACCTTGGGCTAGCTGGCCCGATAGAGGCAGTGCTTCTTGCCCACCTATGTGACCTCTTAAGAGGGAAGAGGGAGGGAGGTCATGAGCTCTTTTAGACATGGAAGGCTTTCTGGTGCAAGGAGCTTCCCCATCTTTCCCTGGGAAATGAAGAGGCAATGGAGCTTTATTTTGTATAAATGAGTGTGTAATCTCCATTTCATACCTTAATAAATAAGTTTTCTTCCCCCCAATCCATGGATTTCTCACATTATTTGGCACCCAATATGGGGCATGAGCCCACAGCCCTGAGATTAAGAGTCTCAAGCTCTACTGACTGAGCTAGCTGGGTGGTGGTGGCACAAGCCTTTAATCCCAGTACTCAGGAGGCAGTGGCAGGTGGACCTTGGTGAGTTTGAGGCCAGCCTGGTCTACAGAATGAGTTCTAGGACAGCCAGAGCTGTTACACAAAGTCAAAGACAGAGACTTACTTTACAGTTTGAAGTAAGTTCATCATTGCTACCCACACCCTCTTTAGCTTGCTGTATTTTTCCAGCAAAGAGCTAGTTTTTTTCCTCCTATGATATACCCAGCATGATGCCCCATGTTCTTCTTTTGAAGGAGGAATTCAGAGAACTACCATCTCTACTCCTATCGCTTACAAAGCCAGAGACCTAAGGAACTAGGTGTTAGCAAGGCCCAAGCTGCACAGTGCAATGTTTCCACCCAATACCAAATTGGTGGGATATAAAACTCCCTTAGAGACAAACCTTTGAGCGTGTCCAAGAAGGATTTTCTAGTATAAACAAGGTAGGAAGACCAACTGCTTGGCTGAATATGGTGAGCTGAGCACCCAGTGGCTCAGTGCTTCTAGAATGCAGATGTTTATGTGTGAGCAGCTGCTTCATGTTCCTTCTCTGCCACGATTGACTGTAGACTCACGGAATGAGCCCAGATAAACCCTTCCTTCCTTAATTTGCTTTGGTCAGGTGTTTTTTGGTTGTTGTTGTTGTTGTTTTTCCTGCAATGAGAATAGCAACTGTTACAAGAAGGGCAACTGGGGTTCATGGCTTGCTGACTTTTGAAACTGCCAATGCCACAGCGTTGCCATGCACAAGGCTCACAGTAGAGACCTGTGCAGTTGAGTTAATAAATAAATAAATAAATACCGCTGAAATACATTTTAGAAATTTCTCAGTGTATTCATTTCTGTTGGGTAGCATTTGCAACTCCCCTGGAAGGTACAAGGATATCAGGCTCTGACTTTGACATGCCTGTCCGATGTGTGGCTGCTCTTTGACCTTGGTCTTGCCCCTGCTTTTGCCCCTTTTTCTTCCAGGTTAGTTTGTGGGCTTGGCAAATGAGATGATCCCACAGAGACTATGGTGTCACTTGAAGGGTGAACCTTGTCTTCTGTCTGTAGACTCTGCTCCCTGAACAGGTGGCCTGGTTCTGGGCTTCAGTTCAAGGGTACCCACTAGTTCACTCCCAGGTTGTCACAGGCGCTTCTGGTGGGCTAGGTAGCGGAGTAGTTTCAGATCAGTCCTGAGGAGGAGGAAGCATGCAAACTGTTCAGTTATTGTTCTAGGAGTCTTTGCTGTGCACAGTCCAGCACATTCTTGTTCCGTGACTGTTGCAAAGGGGTGGGGGTGGTGGGGTGGAAGAGTGGGTCATGAATATTTAATCATGGCAAAGCAGGAGCATATTATTTAGATAAACTACTTAATAGCAACACTAGCCCCTCCCTAGATGGGGGAGATGTTGCCTCACCAGCCCAGCTCCAGACTTATGCATGCTTTAATCTTTAAGGTTTCCTTTGAGGGGGGATGTAAGAAGGCTCCCGTCTCTCCATCAAACTGCATCTCTAATTTAAACAGCTGTTAATAAGGGTTAAATCTGCAGGCTGAGCTGGCTCTTCACTTGTTACTTGCGGGGAGGGGGGGCGGATCAATGGAGCAGGAAGCCAGAGGGGCGTCCATTTTGAAAAGGCGTAATGAATTACGTTTCCTTAGTAAAGCTGGCAACCTCCAGTCCAGCTCCCACAGCCTGCCTTTCACATACCCAAGCCCTCTGTGACACATCAAATTTAATGAGACTGCACAGATCTCAAATAAAGAAGGGGAGCGGTGTGGCTACCGCTGCCAGGGCACTTTATTAAGGAGGATCAGAGAGAGCTCTCTAGCTTTAAAAAGAGCCCTTAAAGGCGAAGGATATTTTGGCGCGAGTGGAGGGAGGTCCCCGATTGCCACGGTTCAGATCCCCTCTGGAGCATTTTAACAACCCAAGTTCAGTGTGAGCTTTGGGATCATAGCATTAGCAAACAGGTCCTCAAACCTCACAACCACTACAAACCAAGAGGATTGTGGTAGGTAATTAGGAAGGTTTTGATTTAAGCTCTCCCCCCCCCCACCCTAAGGCCTTTAGAAGCATACAGAGAGAGACCAGTAGCTGTCATCCATGTGATGAATCATCTTGCTAACCATATTTTCCAAATCAATAAATAAATCACTTGTTTGGTCAGTGGGGCTGCACTTAGACAGACAGTAGAGGGAACATCTTGACAAGGAGAGAATCCAGTGGGTTTGTTGTAGGTTTAGAAGACAGTGCATTATCTGGATACCAAGAGACTTTATTTCATGTGTCGTACTTGTTACTAATTCACAAAGCTTCTGTGAGAAAGTACTATAACCCGTGTCTTCAATGGACTTGTTTATACTGTGAAAAGGGTGAGGGTAAGCTATGAGTTGACACTGAAATTTAGCGTAGAGTTCTGCCCAGTCTTGGAGAACAAAGAAGGTGACAGTGACGTGTGGTGGGCCAAGCCAAGAAAGTTTGTGACAGGCATGCACAGCCCTAGAGAAAAGATTGTCATTTTCTGGTTTCCAGAACTCTAGATATTATATTCAAAGTCCTCCTCTGTCCCTCCTAATACTAAATGTTTTTTTTTTCTTTTCAACCCTGTGTCATAAAAAAAAAAAAAAAACATAAAATAAAACAAAACAAAAGATTGTTGACCTTTACTGTGGTCATTCGCCAGATGTGGACTGAATTGTCTATGCTCCTGACATTGACATGAGCATTTTAAGAGCCCAGAGTGGGGCCAAGACATAATGGATTTTGACCAGCACTTTGTCATGTCTAACTGTGTGACCTTGAAAATAATAATTAATTACCAATATCTAGCACATAGTAGGAGCAGTATTAATGCCCACGGAAACATTGGCGTACTCTGTGCTGTAGCTATGGTTATTATAACTTTACAGACGGGGACTCACAGCATAGCAATGGGCTTTGGGTCATCATGCTAGTGAGAAGTAGAGTTGGGCATCCACATCAGTTCTTCCTCCTAATCACAATTTTCAGGTTCCAATCCTCATCTCTTTAAAAGCCTTGTTTGGGGCTAGAGAGGGCCCTCAGGAGTTAAAGAACACTTGCTTCTCTTTCAGAGGATTGGAATTTGGCTCCCAGCTTCCATGCTGAGTGGCCCATTACCATCTGCATGTAACTCTAGCTCCAGGGGCTCTGATGCCCTCTTCTGGTGTCTGATGGCACCTGCACACGTGTGTGCATACACATACAGATAAACACACAGACACATAATTAAAAATAAAAATTCTAAAAACATAAAGACACAAATAAGCATTCTTTGCACTTCAATGAAGCGAAATCAATCACAGTTGTTGATGTAGGAACTTTTTCTGCCCTCTTCCTCCATCTTGGCGCACTCAGCTTCTCTGTGACCAGCCTTCCAGCCCCATCTTTTAGTCTGTTTGTTAGGTTTGCATTAGAGTTCCTGGTTCAGTTTCATTCCCTAGTCACATGAGCTCTTCTTCAAAGCCATTCATCTTTTCCTCGAGACTCCATTTTGAGAACTACTTTGGTCATTGCCCTCTGCCCATTGATAGGGAAAACAAGAAACTGAGCAGTGAGAGGGCCAGGTGCAGGCCCAGGATTCCTAATTGGGAATAAAAGGGAACTAAGCCATCAGGTAGGTCTACATCACTTTGAATCCCAAATGTTGCTTCTTTGGAGCACAGAGGCCCAGAAAGAAAAACAGCTCAAAAGAAGCATGGCAAAGAGAGTTCATGGGGACATGTAGAAAAGGGCTGTAGAGGACAGGTCGGTGAAGCTAGCACATGCAACGTTTTAACATGACAACCTATTACCAGAGTGCTTTGAGGGAGAACACTGAAGTGATCCTCTTAGGTCTTTGCAGACAATATCTTATTTTCTTTCCTCTTGAGAATTAACATGGGTTCTTTATCCAGAAAAGTTCCCGGAAGTCCTGCCAAATGGGTGAAGTCAGCTCTTGTGTTCATTCAACCCCTCTGGCTCTCTGGGTTGGCTCATAGTCTGGTTGCATCTTAGGTTGATAAAGCAGAGACAACTCACACTGTGAGTTTGCAATTTACCTATTTAAAATCAGTGTTGCTTTGTCTTGGTGCTGCGTCACATCTCTCTGCTGGCTCCCACCTCTTTGTCTTAGAGTTTCCAACCTGTTAGGACTTGTCTCCTGTGCCCTGCCTCTTCTGGCTCTTGCAACCAGTTACATTTTTATCTTCCTTGTCAACCTGACAGGATTTAGAAACGCCAGGAAAACACAGCTCTGGGTTTGTTTTTGAGGGTATTCCCAGAACAGTGTAACAAAAGAGGGAAGACCCACCCTAGTGGACAGCATCATCTCACGAGCTGGGTTCCTGAATGGCACAAAAAGAAAAAAAGGAAGCAGTGACCCAAATTCATCTCTCTTTGCTTCCTGACTGTGGGTGTTGTAGTGCATCCACTGTCTGCCCTGGTAGGGTACACTACATGCCTTCAGACATAAAGAATAAAGCTGTTTGCCATTAAGTTCCTTTTTGTTGGGTATATTGTCACACAAAGAGAAAAACAAGGAAGACGCTATAAAGCACAGTAACCAGCACTAGGCACACAAACTGTTTCCTCAGAGGAACCTTCCTTGGTATAACTTGGTGTTCCCAGAGGTACCCTTCATTTGATTACTGGTCCTCTGGTCTCAGCATTCAGACCTTGCAGTCAGTAGTCTGACAGTGGATGGAAGCAGACTTAATCAGCTTAGGACTATAACACTCTGTATTAAGGGTAAGACCAAAGCAGTTGACCATAGTGGATTGCAAGAGGAGCCCTCATTTGTTTATAGAGTTAGGTGCAGAGCTGCTTCTGGGGTACAGCTAGAGATACACAGAAATCCGAGCTGCCCTTCAGCAATGCCCCAGCAGCTACCAGCAAATTCATACCACATGGAGTCCACAACAACAGCATCACTACTCAACTTAAGGATGTCTGGCTGACCCTGGGTTTTCTCTGGTTATGGTGCTGGCTAGTTTTCATCAGCTTGACACGGCTAGAATCACATGGGAAGAAGGAGCCCCACCTGAGGAATTACCTCCATCAGATTGCCCTGTGGGCGTGTCTATCTGTGGCACACTTTCTTGATTCATGGTTGATGTGGAAGAGTCCAGATCATTGTGTGAGTGGTGCTCCCCCGGGGCAGGTGGTCCTGGGTTGTGTAAGAAATCAAGATGAGGAAGACTTGGTGAACAAATCAGTTAGCAGCATTCCTCCATGGTCTCTGCTTCATTTCGGGCTTTGAGTTTTCCCCCTGACTTCCCTTAGAGATGGACTGTGGCCTGGGCAGTGTGAGATGAAACAAACCCTCTCTTCTCTAAGTGGCTTTTGGTGAGGGTTTTATCACAGCAATAGAAAGCAAACTGATTTGAATTAGCCCAGCTGCTAACATAGAACCAATGGGCTGTGGCCTAGAAAAATAGAACATCCAACATTTGCTCATCTCGGTGGCTTCTGCGCAGGTACCACACCCAACACACACCTCCTTTCTCATACTCAGAGGTACATTATTTGGTCCCCAGGTAGAGGGTGGGAATATTTGTGTCTCTCTTTCCTAATAATAGCTGTTGGTCCAGCTAGGGTACTGAGATCTGAGGTAGAACACTGCAGACTTCCTCCACTGTTGGCTTCTTATAGACCCATCATCACTGTCTAAGCTGGGGATGCTCTGTGATTCTCTGAATTAGAAAGGACATTCCCCAGCGTTAACCAAGTGTCCACTGAGCAGTGCTGGGAAGATATGCTGTGCAGTAGACAGAAGGGTAGGGAAGACAATGTTCTTTATTCTTTCAAGGTCCTAGCAAACATAGACACTCTACTGTAAACTGTTAACGTGGGCAGCACTCCCTTTGTGGGGTTGTTGAGGGGATGGTGTGAGTTAAGCCTGTCAGTTAAGTGCCTGAGACACAGAGAGTGTTCAGCAACTGCAATCATAACAAGGACAGATGTGACAAGCTAGTTTTGGACAGATTTTATGAAATCCTTTTGTTGTTGCTGTTGTTATTGTTGAAGGGTTCTGGAAGTCCACAAGATCAACAAGGAGTTCATCAGACAAGACAATCAAACAATACTAGCAAAAAGAACTAGACAGTGAGCAAATTAATTCTGTGACTTCTCAACACATTGGATTTGTGGAAAATATTGATATATGCAAAGAGTACACTTGGTACTTCGCTTGTAATAGTTGAGGCAGTGTCTTGAGGGAGACACAGTCCATGTGAACAGCTAAGGTGCCCTCTAAGTGTCTTCCATCGTGACAGCCATCACTGTGATTGTGGCTCCTGACAAGCCCACTGGGCTCCCTGGGAGGTAAATGCTAGAGTGGTTCAAAAGTAGAGACAGCTGGGCAGTGGTGGCACACGCCTTTAATCCAAGTACTCGGGAGGCAGAGGCAGGCAGATCTCTGTGAGTTCGAGGCCAGCCTGGGCTACAGAGCGAGATCCAGGACAGGCACCAAGAGTACACAGAGAAACCCTGTCTCAAAAAAAAAAAAATCCCAAAACCAAAATACTAGTGCTAACCAGCAGTCAACCAAACAACATGACTGTGGCACACACAGCCAGAAGAAGGTCCCCAGAAGGACATTCATAAAGGCACTAGGGAATGACTGGACAATAAGCCCTTTCTGATACTAAAAGGTAATACTTGAAGACTGAGTTTGATGCCAAAGCCTGGGACAACACTTGGGACAGAGATTCTATTTTAACTTTCTGGAGATACTTCAACAAATAGAGTCAAGAAGAGCTGGGGAGAGAATTCTGTTCTCTGCGTGAAACTGGCTGAACCATTACCCATGGCATCTCTCCCCATCTCATCACCCTTTGTTAGCTCTGTTTTGGTGATGGCATGTCCCTGAACAAGCTCCAGGGGCTCCTCCTTGGCTTTCCCACAACCTCTTGAGAAAGTAAAAGAGAGAAGACAGGGGCTCGGCTTGTAGCTCAGTGGTAGAGCACTTGCCTAGCATGTGTGAGGTCCTGGGTTCACTACCCAACACTGAAAGAAAAGACAGGAAGAAAGAAGACAGGAAGGCAGGCAGGCCGGCAAACAAGCAGAAATGATTGGGGTAGGAGGGAGGAAGGGAAGCAGGGAAGAAAGGAACTGAAGCCAGGCAATGAGGTATTTGAGTGACATGGGACACAAACCAGAGAAAGGGAAGTTGAAGGTTCACAGTCTAAGAAGAGAATGCAAAAGAGTATTGCCAAGAGGTTAGAAGGACGGAGAAGCCAAGGACAGCTGGCTGGGTGTCTGCTGGGGGAAGCAGGATTGAGTTCAGGCATTTCAGTCTGCAGCTCCAGGTGAACGCAAATCAATCATTTGCACACTAGCTGTGGTGCAGATCAGTGTGTCAGACAGTCCTCCCTCCCATCCCCTGGGTCCCACCTGACCCTTCCCGGAGCAGGGCAGGGAAGGAATGTCGGTGGAATCTGCTAAGGCTGGGGCCCTTCCAGGGGAAACGGAACACAGAGCTGTGCGGGAAAGAGCTGGGGAGAAGCCTAGGGAGACACAGGATAGCAAAGCAAGAAAACACGACCACCATAGTTCTGGGATCTGGGCCTGGCCGCCAACTCAGATGGTTTTATTGTGTTCCCTTGGAGTTCCTCTCCTTTCCTACACCATACACTTCCTCCTTTTAATTTGATATATTCTCTGTGTCTCTACAGGTGGGTATAGTGGGAAGTGGGGAGGAACAGCCTGAGTCCTAAGGAATAACCCAGGACTCGACCTCTGTTGGCTGGAGTTATTTTGGAATAATTCCAGATTCTAAAAGGGCTTTGGTGAAGTTCAGCATGGAGGGCCCCATGACCTTTCCAGAGAAGGCTCTTTATCTTTCTCTTCCCTTGCACCCGGGTCTCCCTTTTGAAGAAGTAAATCTGAGAGGAAACAGTTTCAAAGATTTTTTTTCTATAAAGAATTAAAGAAGTGGCCCGATCCTTGTATCATCCATCGAAAGGAGGGTTGTATCATGAGCTTCTAGTCAGTCAAGACTGGAAAGATTGCTTAACTAATAAAGTAACTGCCAGTTAAGCATGAGGACCTGAGTTCAGATCCTCCATACCCATGTGAAAAAGCCAGGTGCATTGGTGCGCGCGCGCGCGCGCGCGCACACACACACACACACACACACACACACACAGAGAGAGAGAGAGAGAGAGAGAGAGAGAGAGAGAGAGAGAGAGAGAGAGAAATAAGAAACAAGAGCGTTGCCATAACCCTGTAGTCCTAGCTGTCCCGGTGGGAGCTGGAAGGTTGAGAGTTAGGGAGCTCACTCTCACCCTGGATCACATAGTAAGTTCATGACTAGCCTGCTTTACACGAAACCCTGTCTCAACAAAACAAAACAAGGGGAGACTAGGAAGTAAGAGTGGGGGTTCAGAAGGGGGATAGCAAAGAGAGAAAAGAAGGAGAAACAGAAAGGCAGAAAGAAGAGCGGGGCATAGGTACATATTGATGAGAGCCTCTGCCGTAAAGGAAAAGCTCCAGCGTAGAGTGCGGCTTGCGCGACTTCTAACTCGGTTAGTATCTTGAACTCTATCAGTTTACCTAATAAAAACCTGAAAGTCACCTTCCAAGCCCTTTCCACGAGGAAAAGTCCTTCAAATTTCCTTTCTTCTCTTACATGGTCTAGAACTATGCACTTAGGACACACGTGGCTGTTATTGGGAAATACCCTGAGGCATGGCTTATGTATGCAGGTATATGACTACAGGTGCATGTGCAGCCCTGGGTAATTTTCTCTGTAAATTTCTGAACCCACAGATGGCCACACCATGCAAACATCGATGAGTATACCAGATGAAAATGACTGGAACTCCCCAGGGAAAATGCCTTCACAGTCTTAAAACTTGCCCAACAGTACTACATGAAGGTGGAAGCAGGGAAGGAAAGTAGAAGAAAATCTCCCAGGCATGGTGGGAGCACCAACCATGTGGAACGGAGTGGGCCAGGAACCCTTTTATATTTAATCTTACAATTCGTTTAGTTTAATCCCTGCTTTTAGAATAGTGTTTCAACACACTGTGCAACTGAGACAATCCCTTCTGGTAAAGTGTCTTAGAGAGAGGCCATTTCTAGCTGAAAAGCCAGCTGTGAGGAGCTGGAAGGCACACAGCTGCAGACAGCTGGGGGGGCTGGTACTGAAACAGGATCCTGGGAGAAGTGAACTTCAGTTTGCAGGCCCCGAGGCTGTCTGTGGGGAGATGTGTCAGCAAAGAGGCTCGGCTCCTGCGCTTGCTTGGCCAGGGCTTCCTTCTTCTCAGACACTGGATGGAACTCAACCAAGAGGCACCAGAACACTTAAGGGTCAGAACAGGATAACTAACCCCTTTTTATAAGTCACACACAGACACAGACACTCACACAGATACACACACACATACAGATACGCACACAGAAAGAGACAGATACACAAACATAAACACAGCAGACATTCACACAGACACACAGACCCCCCCACACACACACACACATACACACATCCCCTTAACTCCCTTTGATTCAGAGAGTAGACTCTCACAACCTAGCAGTTGCCACTTAGGAACTCCAGCAGGAAAAGATTTAAATGCATTAAGGCCAAAGCAGTTTGCAAGAGAGCATTTGACAGAGCTAAAGTTAGCCCTGTCATGATGAATAGTCAAGCATCCCTTAATTGCATTTACATGTTCACTAGAGAAAACCAGGGTCCTTTTGAAAACATGATTGTCCCTCTCAGGAATCCCCTCATCATAACTCTAGAAGATAGCATAACACAAATAACGCTTCTCAGTGTGACGCTTTCAGCCTTTGCTTTGGATTCCTATTGTCACTGAGAGAGTGTGGTGGTATTGTGTTCCCCCAAAATATTGTGCATGCTAATAAACTTATCTGGGGTCAGAGAAGAGAACAGCCACAATATTAAACATAGAGGATAGGCAGTGGTAGCACACGCCTTTAATCCTAGCATTCCAGAGGCAGAAATCCCAGGGAATGATGGCAGAAAGCAGAAAGATATATAAGGCATGAGGACCAGAAACTAGAAGTATTTGGCTGGTTAAACTTTCAGCCTTTTGAGCAACAGTTCAGCTGAGATTCATTTGGATGAGGACTCAGAGGCTTCCGGTCTGAGGAAACAGGATCAGCTGAGGGACTGAGGTGAGGTAGCTGTGGCTTGTTCTGCTTCTCTGATCTTCCAGTGTTCACCCCAATACCTGGCTCCAGGTTTGTTTTTATTAATAAGACTTTTTAAGATTCGTGCTACAGGAGAGCTCCTTACTTTCCAGTCTACCCTGTCTGTGCCTAGGGTGTGCAGTCTCCTCCTCTCTTCATTTGGGATGTGCCCTGAGAAGCTGAGATGCCTCTCCTGCTCATAGTGTAAATGTGGCCGTGCTAGAGTCCACAAACGATGTCAGTTACAGCGTCAGGGGACTCAGGCTACAGACCAGAAATGCATGTGGAAGTCAGGGGCTTGAAGAAGCAGCAGGGAGTAAAACAGAAGGCTTGTAAGATGGGAGACACACAGAAGGGTTCCGACCATAAGGGAAAGCAAGACTAAGAACACGTCTTCTTCATAGCCGACCGCATGGCCAGCTCTGAGTGTCTTGCCTATCTTCTGTGGCAAGGGAAAAGGCCTGGTGCCTAGGAAGCAGGGGTTGCTAATGTTTCCCATTTGTGTGATATGTGCAGTTTGTAACCTTGCCACATAAATATGAACTTTACAATGTGTATCAGCCACTTACCTTGTTGCTGTGACAAAATGTGACTTAAAGACTTGAAGTTCCAGAGGGTGTAGTCCATCGTGGTAGGGACCTGCTCATTCTGTGGCAGTAGAAAAAAGCAATGCTGTCCACATGATGTGAATCAGGAAGAAAAACAAACAAACAAACAAACAAACAACAAACAAACAAACAAAAACCAGTCTGGAACCAAAGGTAGATATAATGTTCAAAGGCCAGCCAGTAGCGATCTGCTTCTACAGCCAAGCCCCACGCAAATAGAAATGTAAAATTTTCTATTATGTGTATTTGTTTGTTTTTTGAGTGTGTGTGTGTGTGTGTGTGTGTGTGTGTGTGTGTATGTGTGTGTGTGTGTAAGGAGGTCAGGGGAAAACTTGTAGGAACCAGCTCGCTCTACAATGGGATCCAGGGATTGAACTCAGGTCTTCAAGCTAGGTGGCCAGCTCAATCTGCTGGTCATCTTGTCAGCCTCCCTTTCCTGTTTTTGGTGACCACACCCTGGTGGTGTTACTTGTTCTGATCTTCTAAACTGTTGACTGGATCCTATTATAGGTTTTCTCATAGATGAGGCCATATTTAACCACATGGAATGTATTGTCATGGGGCCAATGCTGGTAATGTTGTGCCATTAAGTTATTTGTTTAGGTGGGAGTTCAGGAGAAGGGTGCTGTCATTTCTATACAAAATGGTTCTGTGATTTGTCAGGCATGGTGGCATGTACCAGTAATGCCAACATTGAAGAGGCTAAGGCAGATGGATCTCATGTTCAAGGCCAACTTGGGCTCTCAGGATACCCTGTCTCAAGAAACAAACACATTTCTGGGAATACGGCCATAAGAGTCTAAGTCTACATAATGCAGAGATAACCAGTACACGTGTTTATTATGATAGCATTCATAACAGCTAGGTGGTGGAATCAGACTTGGTGTCTGTCACTCGATGAACATATAAAGGAGGTGTAGTACACATAGGCAGTGGCATTTTATTCAGCCATAAAGAGGAACAAGCATTATCCTGTTTTTAGGAAAATAGAGTTGGAAATCATTATACTGAGTTAAGTAAGCCAAGTTAAGAAAGACAAAAATCATGTTTTCTCTCATATGTGTGTCCTAGAACACACACACACACACACACACACACACACACACACACACACACACACCATGAAAGTGAAGTGGGCACTATTTAGGCAAAGGAAGGGAACTCTTGGAAGGAGAATGGGGAAAAACAGAGGTATGGGGATGAATGTGGTCCAAGTCTGTGATACACGTGAGTGAAATGTCTGTATACAATAGACACATGCTAAGTAATAAAATTACAACACACCCCTAGACAAGCAAACTAGCTCTAAAGGGCGCATTTGGGTCTCCTAAGCTGTACTGTGGACACCCTCTTTCAGATGCTTTGGAAAAAGAAAGATGCACATCATGAAAAGTGCCTAAGTGCTGTGAGAAGACAACCTATTGACAGCTACCACGACCTCCCATGGATCTCTGTCTTTATTGGATTTTAAAATAAGCTTTTGCTTTTCAACAGGAGTGTTTAATTATTACTCTGATGCTTGGGAGGGAGAGCCATGGACTGGGAGATGGTATAGTTTGAATGTGTCCTCCACAGGTTCTTGTGTTGGCAACATAATCATCAACACATGTGAAGGGGCCCACTCAGGACATTTGGAAACAGATTGTTAAATACACAATTCTCAATCAATCTGAAGAGAGGTCTGTGGTATTGGGAGCAAGCCTTGGTTCACTAGGAGCAATGGATGCATTTGTGAATGTTGTCTTAATAACAACACTTGAGTGACAGAGATTAGGAAATTAGAAAGACAGTTAAACAATGTAAATCTGGACTTAATAAGAGCATTGATAGCGTTCTGAGATAGTGGTCAGTGTTTAACAGGGAACCAACACTTGCTGGATGTCTGGAAACTGAGAAACTCGGTGGAGAGAGAACGGTACCTTCAAACAGTGTCTGACTGTCCAGGTTCGGTGTCACAATCAAAGAAGAATGAGGCAAAATTAATGCATTGTGCATGATGAGCTCATCTATACACATGATGGGTCGGTCAATGTATGTCCAAAGATCCCGGACTGTGGCTTTTCTGCCAGATGAGAATTCTAGCTTCTGAACTGGAAATCTGAGAGAATCCCAGGAGTTCACTTGGATGGTTCAAAGTCAGGAAGGGGTTTGGGAAGAGTGAGGCAAGGGTTTAGGAGAAGTGAGACTATAGTGGTTGTTCTGAGCTTGGATTTTTTGCCTCACTAGACAATGAAAGGGAGAGACTGGACCACAGGAAGGGAATAGCTGATCTTACTATTTCAATTCATGTTGATGTTTAGGCACTTGGGTGTGGGTGAAGGGTGGAAGCTGCTGGGATACAGACTAAATGCCCTTGACTGCAGGAATGAGCAGGGCTGAGTCCACAGGACTTGTTAGGACAGCTGCAGGCATGATGGACATGAAGGTGCCCAACAACCAGCTTTTTTGGAGCGATGAACACTTTGCCTGTTACTGAACCAGGTGATTTTTAAATTTCACCCCCCCCAAATAAAAACTCTCTTTTCAGCCACTGCAGTGCTATGGATGGGCTGTTAGTTATCATCAACTTTTGTTCTGAGTTCAATTTAAAAGGTCCATTTGCCAGACTCATAGTGTAAGCTGTGGCTCACAGCTCCAACAAATCATCATGCCAGCAGGAAAAAAGTCTGGGATTGCATTCTAGTTATTATCTGCCAAGCAGGCTGTCTTTACAAATCACTTCACTTCCTTTGGCCTTCGATTTGTTTCATTTCAATGAAAACAAGCAAACAAATAAACCATAGATTGGTGTGGTGACACAGGTCTCAGGTCCAAGCCTGAACCATTCAAGTGGTTTGAAGAAGAATGCCCTCCCATGGGCTAATATATCTAAACACTTGGTCTCCAGTTGGAACTGCTTGGGAAGAATTAGGAGGTGTGATCTTGTTGGAAGAGGGGTGTCCCTGGGACAGCTTTCAGGTGTCCAAAGCCCACACCATTCCCAGTTAGTTCTCTCTGTCTCCTCCTGCTGTGGATCATGTGTAAGCTCTCAGTTATGGTTTTAGCTTAGGCTTGCCTGCACCCATGCTTCCCACCCTAGTGGTCATATGATCTAACCTTCTGAAACCTGAGTCCCAAATTAAACACTTTCTTTTATAAGTTTCCTTGGTCATGGTGTTTTATCACAGCAATAGAAAAATAACTAAGACATCCATGTAGGGAGTTCTAGGCCAGCCTGGGCTCTAGAGTAAGACTTTGCCCTAAAACCCCTTTCCTCAAATAACTTCATTATGGAATATCCCACCAGGCAATATGCACATGCATGTACTTACATATGTGATTGACACACCTACTGCTCAACTCATGCCCCCACATGAACATATTCTCAGTGCCTTTGATGACTATGTGTGTTGACTTTTTATCAACTTCTTCGAACACTGTATACTTTCTTATCCCATACACAAAACTCCCTTTTTAAATAAATTTTTGTATAAATTTATAAAATAACCTTTTAAAACAACTTTTTCATCTCCTTTAAAGAAAATCTGTGTGCATTCCTCAGCAGTCCATTGATAATCTGTATGCTTTAGGTTTTTGTGGGTCATCTTAACTCTGCATGGAGCTAAGGTTTCCTTATGTATAAGTCCGAGGTGTGAATTTGTTGGTTTGTTATTTGCTTCTGGGCAACAGGAACTGATCTTGAGCTTACATAGACACTTGCTAGAAGGATCAAGTGCCATGCTCAGACTCAGGAGGCGGTCAACAAGCAGACCTCAGGAGGGGCAGGCTTAGGACAGCTACTAATACCAGAGTTGTCGAGTTTTTCCAGCAATGCAGCCACCAACTCACAGCTCCAGCTCTACTCTCTTCCTTTATTAATTATTCAAGATGCAACACTACCAGAAACAATCTAATTGGCTCCATCTGGCCACGTGTTCCTCCTTGTCTTCAGACTAATGGTGTCCTGTGATTGGCAGCCTCTCAAAGGTACATGAAGATGGAATAAGATATTTTTCTGAAGGAAGTAGGCCTGGGTTTGCCTTCTCCTCCCTGAGTTAGTTAGGTTAAGAAATCCTTGATACCGCATTGGGAAAGTCCTTCTTAAAGAACTGGCTGAAGTATTGCCCATGTTCATTCATTTGCTATGTGAACAAAACATTTTTCAAAGTGCTTACACGGCATTAGGTACCATGTTAGATGCCAAGAATACAAAGACGAACAAAATACACCTGATTGCAAGTCTGAAGACAGAGTAGTAAGTAGGCCTGGAGTCCTGTACTCAACTGTCTCTTTAGTCTTTGTTATATCATGAGGTGTCATTATGGTCACTTTACAGAGGAAGCCCAGGGGTTAAATTTTCTACCCAGGTGTCTTGGTTATAGTTTCTATTGCTGTGAAGAGACACCATGAACACATCAACTCTTATAAAGGAAAACATTTAATTGGGGCTGGCTTACAGTTTAGAGGTTTAGTACATTGTCATCGTGACAGGAAGCATGGTGGCATGCAAGGTAGACATGGTGCCGGAGAAGCAGCTGGGAGTTCTACATCCAGATTGGCAAGCAGCAGGAAGAGAGAGTGCCACGCCAGATCTGGCTTGAGTATCTGAGACCTCAAAGCCCACCCCCAGTGACACACTTCCTTCAACAAAGCCACACCCACTCCAACAAGGCCACAGCTCCCAATAGTGCCACTCCCTATGGGCCAAGCAGTCAAACACACAAGTCTATGGGGGGCATTCCTATTCACACCACCGCATCAAGTAAGGAGAAGCCTGGAGGGGAAGCCCAGGGTCCCAACTCCAGGGCAAGTTACTACTACTGAGATGAGTTTTAGTAGAGTCAGATACGCTGGTAGATGTTAGACCTAGAAACGTGGACATTTGAATGCTAACGAGAAATTTATCAGGAGGTACCATGGTAGCAAGTGGATCGTCCCAGGCTTAGGAATGCATAAGGGAAGTGTTGGGAAGCAGCTTTGGATGCAAGTCCTCAGAAGTAAGGACCACATGGGGCCCGCCTTTCCCTCTTCGCCCTTTTTCTGAGTTAATTTCTTGCAATT